CAGCTTCTGGACCTGTTGGTTTGTCAGTCAGACCTGTGACGGTGATGATGATGACGATGATGATTTTCTGTTGCAATTTACTTCTGAAGCCGGCGGCCAATCAGAGCGGCCGTTGACTCTGGTGTCAGCTGCTTATCAGAGCTGAGGCAGAAGCTACATTCTCATGGGTCACATGATCTCACACAAAGCTCTCTGATTGGCTCACATGCTCTCTATGCCTTCAACTGAACTTTCAGAAACTAAGCAGGTAAAAAAGAAACGTAACAAGAAACAGAGTTTTTCCTGCTGGATGAAGTCTAGTTAATCCTGAAGGTCAGAGCGAAACTGTTCTGCTGAAGATGCAGAATCACAAAAACATTTGTTATGTGGATGAATTGACGAATATTGACGTGAAGCTATTCATCTCTCATATTTTCTATGAAGGTCATTTTATCATTTTTCTAAAACAGTGCTATGAAATTTTGGATGCATTCTGGCTAAATTAGAGTTTTACTCCCAGCACTTTCCCACGTGTCAGTGATCTGTGGACACAGCGATAACAGAGTCAACATTTAGGAGGCTGAGCTGAGAACAGCTGCACCATCTGCAATAATCGCATATTATTCCAAAGAGCACAGAGAAAGCAAACATAAATTCAACAAGCAACCATTTAAATATCAAAGAATAACTTAACACATAACGACTATTTCCCTGTTCAAACTCTCATGGATCCCAGCAAAATCTGCTCCATGTAGAACCAGTGAAACTGCAATGAATTCCCAGCAAACCTCTCCGATCCCTTCGGTCCCATCTTTGGTTGGAAAGTCTCTCAGCTGTCACTCATCAGACACGAGACCAAGAATACGTTTGTTGTCTTAGGATGCCGGTAGTTCCAGAAACACAATGCAGGCATCAACCGGTCTCTGCAGTGACCAGTTCTGTTCTGTCCATAGGAACAGTTCAGAAGGTGTTCCTTGTGAGCACCCAGGGTCTGTGAGAGACCCAGGACCTCACAGACCCACTGACTGTCCCACAGATCTTCTTTCAGGAATGCCTTTAGCACCTAGCAGATGTTTACAATCTGTCTAAACTTGAAAGAGAAGCTATGGAGAAATATGTAGAAAAATCCCCAGCTGCAGGGATAATCTGTCATATTGTAGCCAATAAAAACAATTCCTCTCTCCTACTGAAGCAGATCTAGCTCCTACTATCTTTTCCAGAAAATGAACAGCTTTTAAGATACCTGTGGGTCACTTGGGGTACTTGTTCATCATGGGGTTGTTAAATGCCCCTGCTGTTTTCCAGGACCTTGTTAATTATGTCCTCTGAGACTGTAACATCTTCTCTTCATCCATCTGGATGACATGCTCTTCTTCTTGAAAAGTGTTACAGAACATCAGGTACATATTGTTACATCTGGAAGGACCCAAATGCAGAAAAAAAATGTACAACAGAGTACCTTCAGAAAATAGGTACAACTGGAAGGAGGAAGATCAGAGAGAGTAGATCGTGCAACACAGGAACTGAACAGAAGGATTCAGCAAGGGGCGACTGTGGCTGTGTGGGTAGAGATCGGAAGGTTGTAGGTTCGATTCCAGCTTCCTCCTGCTGGAGGCACATCGACATGCCAAGAGTTCAAAGAGATTTACATCATAAAATCACAAAAATATAGTTATAAAAAAACAACATAATCTACAATTGAGAAAATCAGTAACAAACTTTACATTTTGATGAGTGCCATCATCAAAACACATCAAATATGTTGGTGAGTGTTCATTTTATTTTGGCCACTGAAGACAAATATTCTCCTCTGATCTGCGACCAAATGGACAACAACCCATGAAGTAGCACGGCTAATCGTGCTTTTATTTTGAAAATCGACACGCTAAATGAAGCAGTCACATGACCCATGCAATGCCAGGCCTCGTTTGTTGCCAGTCACGTGGTTTTCAGCAAGACAACACAAGCCTCGAAGCGGGGTTTCATCAGACACGCCCCCTTTTTACTCGGCACAAGCCTGGTTCAGAAGGTCCATCACTAGTCTACCCGTTAATTGTTCCCAGCTGTGTCTTGTTCCCTGATTATGCTCTGTGTGCCACCTGTGTTCCGTGTTCTTTGTCAGATCTTTGTCGAATCTGTCTTGTCTAGCTGCCGGTATTGTTCGTTTTCACCAGTTGCTACCAGTTTAGAGCCTTAGCCCTCCGCTCTACTGTGCTGCCTGGATTTTGGAATTATTTGTGTACTTTTCTTCATTAAAACCATAATTTTCTTCATTTTGACCTGGGTGTATTACATCTGCCTCACCACTTCACACCGCATTTCATGACAAATTTAGATGACAAATTTTGACAGATTTTCTGTGTTCAGTTCAGTCTCTGTTGTTCTACCCCTGGATTGTCCCCAGCTGTCCCTCATTTCTCCTGATTGCCTTCCCTGTGTATTTATGCATACCTGTGTCTCTTTTCCCTGTCGGGTCCTCGTCTATTGCCGTGTCTATAGTCGTAGTTGGATGTCGTGTCATTACCCTGTTTACCAGTGCAACTAGTGTGGAGTTCCTTGCTTCTAAGTTCACCTGTGCTTCCTGGCTTTTTGTTATTTCATCCTTAAAACGTCATTTACTCTTCATATCTGGGTCCACCGTGTCCATCTCAAAACCCTCAACTGATGACAACATGCTGCTTTAGAGAGCACAGGCATGGCTTATATATTAGGAACCAATTGGACATATTTCAAAAAGAAAGAGAAAAAAGACTAGAGTGTCAATATATAGCCCAGTTGTTCTCCAAGAGAGGTGAGTAGACTGTGCGAGTTTGATTTTAATTCTAATTTAACCTCCAGCCTTATGGTCTCAGCCTCATTCTGACCTTCGTGTTCCTGCCTGTTCAGGTGGAAAAATACCCACACCTGTCCAAACTCCCACTGTCCTCTGATAAGATGTCCTTGCTGTCCCGTCCAATCATGTCACTCCACTGACGTATAAAAGCAGCGGGCCCAAAGGGAGTGGACATGATCGAGCCATGGCCTTCCTGTGGATCCTCTCCTGCCTCGCCTTTGTCGGCGCCGCCTACGGTGAGACCGGCCTTCATCAGCAGAGTCGCTCAGAGACGAGCGTCTCTGCAGACCGTTTACACTGCATGAGCTTAGAAAGACGTCTAGCTTCGGTTGAAGGGAGAGGAAACATGTCCTTCTCCTGAGATGCCAGGAGTTTATTTCTAATTGATGTTGGTAATGATGTAATGATGATGTCATCAGGTTGCGGCACACCTGCCATCACTCCCGTCATCACCGGTTACGCCCGTATCGTGAACGGTGAGGAGGCTGTGCCTCACTCCTGGCCCTGGCAGGTGTCTCTTCAGGTAAACTCACACAAACAAAGATGCTTTATTCTGTTAACTTCAGGGATGCTCACTTCCTTTTTAAGAACCATCTCTGATGTAGAAATATTTTCTAGCCGATAACCGTTGCTGGTACAAGGATCGCTACCTCACCCTCCTGCAGATCATCAGTTCAACTGAACAACTCTATGGAGATTTGATCATTTCTAAACTTTGGAGGGTGTTGAATTTGTACATGTGAAGCCAATATTAAACGGGTGGAGACGACAAAAATGTTGCAGAATAAAAGTTTATCTTTCTTAGACTGCATGCTCCTAATGTTTACCGTCAGAAATCAGTGTTTGTCGCGTACTGATCACCAACCTGATGGCCACATCAGCAGATCCAGGTCTGACTTTAGGCTGGAAGAGATGTCACACATGTAAACGTGCTGCTGTCAGAGCAAACGCATCCATCCTCTGATTTTTCCAGGACTGGAAAATACCAACCTAGCTTCTCTTTGCCGTCAAACGGCAGCCTTGGCGTGCAGCCGTCACCTCCTCTTAGTTTATCAGCTGCGTCTCTGAACTGACCTCTGACCTGTGCGGCCTTACGTCAGGCTGCAGAGTCATTACAACTTGCACAGCTGTTAAAATGGGACCAACCTCTGTTTCAGGATTACACTGGCTTCCACTTCTGCGGAGGCTCTCTCATCAATGAGAACTGGGTGGTGACAGCTGCTCACTGCACTATCAGGTAAGCATCACACACCTGAGGTCTGCGTTACCTAAGAAGAAGTGATCAAAGCGTTGGTGTGTTGCAGGTCCGGCGACCGTGTGGTCCTCGGAGAGCACGACCGCTCCTCCAACGCAGAGAGCATCCAGGTGATTTCTCCTGGCAAGGTAAGTGAGACCGTTCACATGACATCCCCTGACCTTTAACCTGCCACTCCTAAACATGTCACCTCCTGCCAGGTGTTCAGACACCCCCAGTACAACAGCTACACCATCAATAACGACATCACCCTGATCAAGCTGTCCAGCCCCGCCCAGCTTAACATGCGGGTTTCCCCCGTGTGCCTGGCTGGGTCCTCCGATAACTTCCCTGGAGGCATGAAGTGTGTGACCTCTGGCTGGGGTCTGACCCGCTACAACGGTAACGGCTGCTGACGCTCACAAGCCTTTACGAGAGAATCAAGAGATTGCAAGCAACAAAAACTTTACAATAATTAATAACACAGGGGTCCTGTCATATTTTTCAGACCTGGTTTTCTGTTCAAAGGTTCACTTCATTCACTAAATCCATAAAATGTCTTAAGTCATCTTCCGGGTTGAAATTAAGAACCCTGAAAATTGTTTTTATTCCTGAGTAATAATCATGTCTTTACTGTAGTAAATGGACGGGGCCGCCTGACTTGGAAAATAGTTTCTAATGAGTTTGAACGTTCTGCTGGTGACTGTTGTGTGTTTTTCAGCCGCTAACACCCCCGCCCTGCTGCAGCAGGCCGCTCTGCCCCTCCTCACCAACTCTGACTGCAGTCGATACTGGGGCAGCAACATCACCAACCTGATGATCTGCGCCGGAGCGGCCGGAGCCTCTTCCTGCATGGTGGGAGTTCTGACCCGGTTCTGTTCATCCAGTTTGACCTCCCAGTTTTCACCAGCCTGTTGGGTTTCTTTGCTCTGTTCCTCAGGGTGACTCTGGAGGTCCTCTGGTCTGTGAGAAGAACGGAGCCTGGACTCTGGTGGGCATCGTGTCCTGGGGCAGCAGCACCTGCAGCACCAGCACTCCCGCCGTTTACGCCCGCGTCACCGAGCTGCGCGCCTGGGTCGACCAGACCATCGCTGCCAACTGAGCGTGCTCAGCGGTCGGCCTCCACTTCTAGCCTGATCTACAATAAAACACAGAAACTGACTAAACCTGCTGCCATGTCTTGTT